CTCTCTCTCTCTCTCTCTCTCTCTCTCGGATAACAGGAAGAAGGTAGTGGCTATGGAGGGTCAGAAGAAGGATCAGGAAGAGAAGACAAAGAAGGAATATCCTCTTTCGCTCTCTCTCCTGATGGATGATGGCCCCCAATACTGACCGGCGAAGGATGATAACTCGAGTTGATGCAGGTCGCTGAAGAAGCCAGGTCCCATACTGGATGGAGTGTCAGCTATGGCGCCCAGGTAAGTATGTCTAAACCCCGTACTATGGACACCTCCAGCCTCTCCTCTCCAGATTCTCTCCTACTCCTCTAACGCTGCCACTCTAATGCAGCTCTCCCAGAATTGCACATTACTCCAGCAGCATCACACCCAACTGGTGCTCCAGCACACCGTCCTCAAAGTGGAGGACTGGCCCATCTATATATGGCTGGGCCTGGCCGGGCTGCCCTCGGTCTGCAGTCAGGACAGTTCGATCTAGAGTCCGATGGATAGTCCTGTTCACAGGACCAAGTCCTGGTCCCACATCCCTTGCCTCACTTGCCCTGCCAGGGTCCCTTCTGGACATACAGCAGGGCTGGTTCAGAATTGACGAGGACTGAGCCAGGCACTACAGACAAGTGCCTGGTCCAGTCCAGATGCGGACAAAAGTGCACCTGGCCTACAACGTTTAAAATGAAATCCACTGGTCCAAACAGGCACAGTGCCTGTCCGGACAAAAGGAAAAGTCCGAAACGACACCATCTGGAACAGAAAAACAGACCAGACAAAATCAGTCCCAAACAGCATCTGAAAAATAAATAAAATTAATAAATGCATGAATGAATAAATAAATAAATGCTGAAAGAAGTGAAAAACGAATGGGACAAAAATAAACCCAGGCCTAGGAAAATGGTTGTGGCCTTCCAGGGAGCCCAAAATACAGGGGTGCATGGCCTGGGGGGCGAAGTGCAAGGGTCAGGCCCCCTAGAGGCCCCGTAAAGGTGCAAACCAGAACAAGAACCGACCTGTCTCACATAGTACAAGATACCGCAGCGGAAGGCTAATATACCAATGATCAGACCAATCAATGTCGCAATGCAGACCAAACATACATCATCATCATTCCATGGTGTGAAAGGGGCTGGCGCTCACACAGGAAGAGTGCGCCAGTCCCCAGCCATACACAGACGAAGAAGAGGGGAAGATGGGAATGTCGTCAACACCAAGTCTTCGGTACAGGTCCCAAATAATCCCTTGTCCAATGTCTCAATCCCAATATCGAGTCTGGATCCAAATGTCGTCAAGTCCCAAAGTCACGAATCTCTCTCTCTCTCGTAGTCTGCAGATACTGAGAAGTTAGGTAGAGAGAGGGTGAGGGAGAGATGGTGGACTTAGAAGAGGAAGAAGAAGAACTCTCTCTCTCTCTCTCTCTCTCTCTCTCTCTCT